CCGAGGAGCAGGAGAATCCCGAGTTCAACTTGGCCACGGGACAAAACCAATTGGAGCGAGGTCTGAAGAGTCGCCACATCCAGTTTTTGGCTTTAGGTAACATCTCCATGCCCAAGTTGGGATACCTGAAGACTGACATGTCATAGGTGGTGCGATCGGAACAGGTCTATTCGTTGGCTCTGGAAGCATTCTATCAGAGACCGGACCTGCTCCTCTCTTCATGGGCTACCTGGCCATGATCCTCGTAGTATGGTGTATAATGAACATTCTAGCAGAAATGGTCACCTACCTGCCGATGAAAGGAATCTCGGTCCCGTACTTCGTCGAACGCTTCGTGGACCCTTCTCTAGCATTCGCAGCTGGTTGGAATTACTGGTATGCGTATGCCATGTTAGTAGCCGCCGAAGCTAGCGCTGCTTCGATCGTGCTAGACTACTGGAATGCACCGGTCTCTGTCGCTGTATGGATTACCATTGTTTTGTTCATCATCTTACTTCTGAACGTCATTGCCGTATCGTTCTTTGGTGAGGCTGAGTTTTGGTTCGCCAGTATCAAGCTGGTCACGATAATTGGACTTATCATTCTCGGAGTTGTGCTTTTCTTCGGAGGCGGCCCCAACCATGACAGACTTGGATTCAGATACTGGCAGAAACCTGGGGCATTTGTGCCATATATGGCACCTGGCAACACGGGAAAATTCCTAGCTTTCTGGCACGCCTTTGTCAAAGCTGGTTTTGCGTTCATCACTTCACCAGAACTTATCGCCATCGCCGCCGGGGAAACAGTGGACCCTCGAAGGAATATCCCCAAAGCTGCTCGTCGCTTCGTCTGGCGGTTGGCCATCTTCTACGGCTGCGCATCCTTCATCATCGGTGTTATCGTGCCATCCGACGACGACAGGTTGCTCGGAGCAGGAAATGCGAGTGCCAGTCCCTGGGTTATCGGTATACAGAGAGCTGGCATTGGTGGACTGAACCACGCTATCAATGGAGCAGTCTTGACATCTGCATGGTCAGCAGGGAATTCTTTCCTCTACTCCGGATCTCGAGTTTTGTACTCGATGTCTCTGAATAAGCAAGCACCTAAGGTATTCAGCATGACCAACAAACGTGGTGTTCCATATATCGCCGTCCTGTTTACCTGGGCTTTCTCCCTCCTAGCTTACCTCAACGTCTCCAATACTGGAGCAACAGTCTTCAACTGGTTCGTGAACATTTCCACGATCAGTGGATTTATCGCTTGGATCGTGGTCATGATCACCTATCTCCGCTTCCGCAAAGCCTTCGAGTACAACAACATGCTCCATGTTCTACCGTACAAAACGCCTTTCCAACCATACGCCACCTATATTGTATTATTCGTAATCACTCTCCTCACACTCACCAACGGTTTCCAAGTCTTCTGGCCAGACGAATTCAATGTTGCGGACTTCCTCGCAGCATATATCACTCTTCCAATATTCTTGGTGCTGTATTTTGGTCACAAGATATACTTCCGCACTCCTTTCTTGACGAAGGTCGAGGATATTGACGTCATTACTGGGAAGAAGGAGATGGATGAATTGGCTGAGATGGAGGTTGTTCGTGTACCTAAGAACTGGCTACAAAAGGCTTGGTTCTGGCTTGCTTAGATTGGAGTTATGGGCTGTGTTGTATTTGTTAAAGCGTGCATTCAGGCGGAACTGGGAATCATAGACAAAAGTGTAGATATACTTGACTCTTTTTGGTCTTCAATTGCAGAATTTTGTGACATAGTGTGGCACAATGAGGAGTGCTAGATGCTATATTGAATCGTCGAAGGATGATCTTTACACTTCCATAGACCTGAGTAGAATCATCTTGGTATTATGAGCTGGGAATATCTCTATAAATCTCCGAACGCCTTCCCAATGCCTGTACACCAAAACCGCTATGCGAAGTCCCAAGTTACACTATCCATACATCCAATTCCTCCTCAACCACCGACCTCAATCACACCTCCCATCCTTCCACCCCGTCCTCCACCTCTCCTCCCACTTCCTACAATCAAACTCCTTCTTGCCAAGCTTCCTATTAACATCATTATGCGCCTCACACATCCACTGTCCAAACTCCTCTCGACTCTCCGTCCTAACCTTATTCTGCTCCATCCAAACTTGAAAATCCTCCGCACACACCCAACACGGATATAACTTCGAGAACAGACCCAGAAATTGGCTGACTTGACTCTGTTCTACAGGTGTGGGGTTTGTCGGGTAGGTGGCGGCTATGGAATGGAGGAGTGTCCAGGACGAACGACCTAGTTCTTCGACGTCTGGAGGACAGTCTTTCCGTGGAGGAGGGGCGAAAGAGGCGAATTTTCGGGATTGAGATGTCATGTCTTTGAGAGAATTGCAGGTTTTGCAGCTGGAGAATTCAGTTAGTGTTGTGTGAAGGTGTAACGGGCGTGAGTTTACGGTTTGCCATCTTTCCCGAGAATAAGTCCTTTTGGTGACTTTTTGACTGCGCCTGGCGCTGTTGCGGTCGCGGCCGTGCTGGTCGTTTGATTGTTATCCCTAGTATCGTCTGCCATGACTATCGTTCGTATGTCTTCTGGCTGAATCCTGCAAATGGCAAAGTGGAAGTTGATGTCCTCTAAGCTGTAGATTTGTCAATGCGGACCCATCGGCCGCCTGCGGCGGGCGCGATGTGCCTCGGTGCGTCATTGTCACGTCCGTCGCAATTTAAGACTATCTACCTGTACAATCAGACGACGATGAGAAGCAGCAAGGCCGGAGCTGATAGCTCCATACCAATCCTGTTGCTAAAGACGAAATCGAATCCTAATGACGGCTACGAAGAACGCTTCCGCGCTGTGAATAACAGTCTCCAATTCGACCCTTCATTTGTGCCAGTCCTCGAGCATCAGTTCCTCGATGCCGGGCTAAATATCGTGAAGGACTTGCTGCAAAATAGGCAAATTGGCAAAGACGTGGAAAAGAAATATGGTGGAATGATATTCACGTCTCAACGCGCGGTGGAAGCTTTCACAAGGCTGGTAGAAGAAGGGACAGGTGCGAATTCACACCAAAGCCATTCAGTCGAATCTTTCTGATTAAGGCGACAGGCGATGCACAATGGCCCCATCTACAAGACATTCCCATATACACCGTTGGCCCTGCCACGTCTCGAGCCCTCCGAGCTATTCCACAGAGTCCACCGCTCAATGTCTTTGGAGCAGATATGGGGAATGGGGAAGCTTTAGCGCATTACATGCTTGACCACTACGGGAAATGGTATCAAGATCGAGAAGTCAAGCCGCCCTTACTATTCCTAGTAGGCGAGCAGAGACGGGATATCATACCCAAGACCTTGATGGACCCATCTTTGGCAGCCGATCGTCAGATACAAGTCGATGAACTAGTGGTTTACGGAACAGGCGTTATGGAGTCGTTCGAGCAGGACTTCACGCGAATATTGGCCGAGACCAAGAAATATTCCACGAGGTGGGTTGTGGTATTCTCGCCTACTGGTTGTGAAGCCATGCTTCGTGTATTGGGTCGATTGGATCCAGAAACGGGAAAAGCGAGAGTGAATAAGTCTGAAGAACCAGGAAGTATTTATGTTGCGACGATTGGACCTACTACGAGAGATTTTCTGAGGAACACTTTCGGGTATGAACCAGATGTTTGTGCTGAGAAGCCAAGTCCTGAGGGTGTGGAAGCGGGCATCAAGATGTTTCTGCAGAATCAATCTTGATTATTCCCAAACATATTCCGATCCAGTCCGAACGTTCCATGTGTCATTTGTAGGTGGATTGATTTTCTTTTGGCCGAGCTCCTACTGTGCAATCTTCGAGTCAAAGTCGGGTTTGCTGAAGTCTGTTCCAAGACATGTTTTGTATTGCATACATGACTTGGGCTAAGAGCAACACATGCTTTACCCGGGTTTTCCAATTATAGGTGGGCTGACGCCTTTCTTCATATGCGCTACGCCGCCTACTTCGTGTATATGTTTCTCCAAGCTGTAGCCGGCTATCTAATCAATCTACCAGCCTACGCACTCTGCAGAAATAGGAAAGAAAGAATACGTGACAATTCCTATCCCTGACAAGTCGACGACGACCACTGCATCATTTCGTGCTAATCCAACCAATCCGTCGAATAATCTGCGCCAACAGCGTCGAGATCCGGTTGAAAAAATTTCCAAGAACTTATTCTCAATTCCCAGATCCGACCAAGCGGTTGTAGACATTGGATAAAGAATGCTACCTATACCTATCATCAAAACCATCAATCATCTCGGCCACAAAATCAAAAAGCTACACGACCCGAACATCTAGCAAACCTCCCGCACTTACTCTTGATCCATACTAAGATCTGGCTTACGGACGCATATCATGCGAGGGGAATCATGCGGAAGCTGTTTACGAGATGTGTCTTTGAGATAGTGAGGAACTTCGGGTTTTGTAGGGAGGGAAGGTCTTGTTTAGAGGGAGAGGAGAAGGTTAAGGGGATGAGATTGGATTGGATTGAATTACTGAAAGTGAGATATTTGGCGCTTTGAGAGGTGTGGCGGATGGGTATTGAGCGTTGTGTTGTGAGATGGGGACTTGGCTGGATAGTGTGAGAATATGGCGTGGAGGATGTTTGTGGTTCTTTGTAGAGGGGGGTGCCGTTTTGATAGGAACGAGTAGTACATTATTTTCGGAAGCATCAAAGATGCTCATAGTATAGCTCAAGAACCTGACTATTATCTAGCTCGATTATTATCCTTCCAATGACAGCTTGGCAAATTGTGGCACTTTTACTTGCATGGCTTTCACTCGCAGCCCTAGAAGCAAATCGCAGAGCTAGGCAGATACTAACACGACAGTCATTCCAATAAAAAGAAAGAGAATAAGCGTAAGCATCTCACCCTATATACGAACCTTTTCAACAGTATCACAATAAAAGTTCCCTGCAAAAACAAAAAATTGACCCTGCACAGCAAGTCGCTGCACCCGCCACTGTAAATGCAACGACTTGCCGGGCACGGGTCGCTGGACCGCATCAGGAATCGAACCTGAACTTCACAGTGATATCAACAATCAACTAGCTGTGTGTGCTACCGTTTTACAATGCGATCTGTTGAGTTGCATTGATGGTATGATGTGCTCATTTTGGATTTGTGATGAGGATAGACAAGAGGAAGGAATTGGGTTGATGGAGGGGTTGTGTGGTGTGGTGGAGGGGAAAGGGAAGGTCGCGATGGTAAGACAATGAATAGGGCAGCCAGGGAACAGTATACGAAGAAAGAGATAAACAGTAAATTGTCTGCGACCAAGCTTTCATCTATCTACATCAGTAGAATATAAGCCCAAGCTACCATGACGGGAATTTGGAGAACTGAGCAAGTTACCTAGAGGGGACGTAGAAAGGGTCTTGGATTCTGGTCATTTCTTCTAGGGAAGCTCCCGCGAATGATCCAATACCTGGATGGCGAGAAAGCGTCGAAAAATTATTGCGAAATGTCAAGCTTTGTGATAAGCGGGTACCGAAGATGATCTTGGCAAAATTTGAACAGGATTTAAGTAAGCTTAATATAGCGGCAAATATCCAGCTTGGAAAAGTATGTACTTGAATACAGGAATCAAAAAAAATATATTGGCTAAATGAGGGTCGGATTTTCTATAGTAAATTCGACATCAGGATCGGAAAACTGTGCGAGAATCCAGGTCTGGAAGCCCAGCCGACACCTACCTTGCAGGTATTTGAGACAGACCGCCATGGCGCTTCTTGAAAGTCGGACTCGTGTTTAGCGTAAAGGTAGAGGATCGGGAAAGGTCACTATTGATATTGCTCAGCTTACTGATAGAGAGCTTGTATTGGTGAGGACATCCGGTGGAAGTTACGTCAGCTTAGCTTTGCGGTAGATATACGTACCTCTAGGCCGGTCGTTGCATTAGTCAAGGATGTCGTGCTATTTAAGAACTTTACATGCGTTTCTTCAAGTAGTTGTTGGAAGGAGTCGCCATTATCCATTTCTCTTCACCAATGTCGTGCATAGCAGGTGGGCGGGAGCCAAGACTGCACCAAAGATTGCCCACAGGGGTCTTTGGCGAGTAAATAAACGGCCTCCCTAGCAAAATCCAAGCCAAAGTCTATGAGAGCACAGATCATTTTCTTACTGCCTAGCTTGCTGTTTCATTAATGACAAGAACTAAGTTAATGTAGCAGCATCTCAAAGACAAAAATGCAGAGTCAACATACTCGCAAGCCGTACCCTACTTCAACCGTCTCGATTACAAATCGACGATGACCAAGGAACAGATGTGCATTTGCTGTAGAAAAGGTACTTGATGTCGAGATCCCCAGACGGGTGAAGAGCATCCGCATTTTATTTGCTGAATTACCCGTATTCTCAACCATATTATGGTATTCTCACTCACGCTATGGATGTTGGTGCTTTGACGCCATTCCTGAGGGAATCTGAAGGGCGAGAGAAGTTCATGGTACAAACCACCCCGTCACATACAAACTTTAGCCCTGGATTAGAATTGTAGATGTTACGAGAATTGTTTACTGATAATTCATCCACATAACAGGACCTTTACAAGCGAGTTTCTTGCGCCCGGATACATACCGCATATATCTGCCCCGGAGATTTGCACCAAGATCTCTCGAGTGGCTTTCTAGCCGCTATCAACAACGGAAAACATGCTCGCAGCTCGAGATGGAATTGAGTGACCTTATCGTGTATATATTCGTGCTCCTGAACTTGCCACTCGAGTAATTTGGGTGTGCTGAGTGGATGTCACTTATGAGCTGATACAGTAGCGATTATTGGGGCGATAGATCTGGTTTTTGGTACGTCTTGCTGATGGTCAATTGCCAAATTTAACACATGAAGTCTTGCCTATTCATCACTGCTAGTGTCGATCAACACAAAATTACTACCCACCTATCATAGCTAGATATTTTCTCCTAGCGTACCTCTTGGTGGTCAATGTCATTTGGAAGTTTGGATTTACTTGTGGTGTATGTTCCATATGCTTTCCAACTCTCGAAATTATGTAACGTTGTGTAGAGTCCTGTAGAAAATCACTTGCGACAACGAGACTTGAACTCTCCTGAAGTATCGCACTTCATGTCCACGATATCCTTGGTCTGAACCATCGCCATCATGGAGCATGTGTTGAGATATTGGATTCCGGCTATACACGGTGACTGGCGAGTTCTCCGTGAGGAAAGGTCCTGATATCTTGAGATGTGGTACTGGTATCTTCACTCCAGGGTGCCCAATGGTTTGCAAGTGGAGGTCAAGGAATCGAGGTCGAGAAATTTCGAAAAGCTATGTCGATATCGACCCAAGAGTTTATGCAGAGGTCGAATAAGGGTACGATGAGGGAAAAAATATTCCCAACTCCGATAATGAGGCACGTTTGACGCTAGGCCACTAATTGCGTTGTTGCCCTTATCAGCAAGGTGATTACAGGACTTCACTTTGATAATATTTTGGATTTCACGAAGTCAAGACAGCACATTGACCAACGATACCACGAAACTGGTACAGGTAGAGCATCAATACTGGTGACATTCAATATTTTTTATTTTGCTACCCATTACAGCCCAGTAACTTCCTCCCATACCAATCTCCCATACAGCGCCTTCTCAATGGTACATTTCCTGGGAAATGTACGTTAGCTTCTTGACTTCCGAGTGCGAATACGAAGAACTAACATTGTGCTCATTATCAACCTCATCAACCTCAGTTCTCTTGACAGGCTCCTTCAATCCCAGCCTCAACTTCATTCTTCTGACGAATCTGACGAATCTGCCATTTGACTTCCCCTTCTTGATTACTCCACCCTTTGAAGTCCAGCAATCAGCGGTGTTGCGAAATCTGGTGTAGTCCCCGCCTCCAGATCTACCGCTGGATCTGTCGAAGAGTCGAATAGCCATGGTGAGATCGTGTTGAGTGGGCGATTTTTTCGAGCTGTTTTGCTTTTGGATGGACTCGAAATGGCTATAGAAGCAACAGGAGACTTGACAGTGTCTGCTTGTGCAAAGATCGCGTGTGAGAGATTTGTTGTCGTCGTCTGGGCAAGAGAAGATATAGAGGCAAAGAGAGTGGAGTATTTGTTCTGCTGTGTTGTGTGCCTTGCATTTGAACCAGGGTAGACTAGCGCGAATCTCGAATTCAGGTTGAACATCAGTCACAGGCGCAGACTATAATTTTTGACCCATCCTCTGCTGCGTTTGTCAGCTATGCTCGATACCAGATTTACTTGCAAGTATTTACCAATTGTCGTATAGTCTTCATAGTATCATCGCCCAGTCTCAATTATGAACAAATAAAGTCTGGATTATACTTCCATGTTAGCGTCAATTTAAGCGAAAAGTAAACATAGCATAGGAACGACCAGCTACACAACGTCGTCCTTTTCAGCGACTATTGCCCCTCGATCATAAGATACATATAAAACAGAAAAACTTCCGAGACTTGGCTTCGTTTCGCTGCCTTTTTAATTCGGTGACTTCTGAGCGAGCAGTTTCTGCTCGCTCGCTTAGTCAGCAAGAGTCAAGCAGAGAGATTTGGCGGAACTGCTGTTGATGTTTTGGTACTTGGGAAGTCTATACTATTTCAAGGAGAAATTGGCTTATATTGGTGTTTTAAAGGTGGATTCCGAGATATTACTACATCGAGGGAGCTACAACTTATTCAAAAAGGAGAGGGCTCACATGCAAGAGAATGCCGACAGAGTTTTGAGGTTTTGGAAGCGGTCAAGTCCCGAAAGTCATTTTACCGAATCTGATTTTTGGTATCTATCTCACAAGGTTGATTCCAGGAACAGATTGTTTTACAAGGAAGGATTCTCCATAATCGATAGAATGCCCGCTGTAGGACGAAGAAGACAGTCGGTGATCTTGAGCCTGTCCATTGCCATGTTAGAGGTCCGAGTAGCGTGTTCATCGAGGGCTTTATAGACGTTCGATAGTGACTTAGAGACATCAACGACAGTATGATGAGGTAATCGGTGAACCAGGTCCTGATACCTGTCGCCCGCGCAATCAAAGGTAAGATAGATGTGGATGAATCTTCGCAGCTTGGAAGTCAGCTGCTCCGCTAGCGTCTCGTAGATGAAGTTGGCAAGGTAGATGACATCGTGATCATTTGCCAGAAATCTCTTGTTTATCATGAGTCCCAGAGCGGCGGCTTGCAAAGCCGGCATGAGAGCGCGTTCTGCAATCTTCCAAACCTTCACGACATCGACGAATTTAAATCCATCACGATCGTGGTTGACGTAGATGCCTAACTCAGGTTCAATCTGCTCTGCATACACCCAATGAACCAGGGTACCAAATGATTCCTTGTCCACGCTCCTTACGCGTATAGTCTGGGTTGTACCATCCATGATTTGATCCTCTAGTGCAGCCTTGAAGAACGGTGAATGCGCGGAAACCAGATGCTCGTGGACGAAGAACGGAGTTGGTAGGTGATCGTGACCGACGAGAAAGGTAACCATAGTGGTGGGCTGACCGAACACAGAATTAGCTAATATTAAGATGTCGCATAGCTAAACCTTACACTTACGAGAAGGAGACTCGAATTGATTCTATGGGGATGGAAGGATGACCCTCGTACGGAAACACTTCCTCACCGTCTTGAGTGGAAATTTCGAGGGTTTATGTCGAATGGAGACTGCTGTATATTGAGGAGAAGGTTTTTGATGGGATTATGTTTTTTTTGCGCTGAGATAGTGTTAGCGTCCAGATCTCACCTTAGCCGAAGACAGCAGAAGGTGAGCGTAATTCAGAGAAGTGGTGACAAAGAATTAAAGTATCACTCTAACCAGCCACAAAGCATTTTATAACTTTCAAACCAATCAATCACCCTTTCCAAAAGGAAGTATCCCAAGACCAAGCTACATCTCGATTCCGGATTGAAGCTGAGTTTCAACAAGTTCGCAGCCGCCACATGACTTAGGACATTGTTGTTTTATCCTGCTGAGTCCCTGGCCGTATAAGAACAGAGAATGGCCAAGCAGTTATGCAGAATTTTACCTTATCCAACCAATTGTGGATGAAGGTCCATAGGAGATAGCTAGTTGCATGATAATTCAATTGATTCCTACTCGTAGCCCC